CCTTCAGGCTACTGCAATGTTGTTCAGTCTGAATTCTATGTAAACACGATGGATCTTGTTCACTCAAGACTCGCCTTTCTTATACAGTCAAGGGTCTACGGTCGCGCAGTGATATTTGATACCCCTTTTGAGCCCATAACTTTAAAAATGAGTATATTCGAAGAATGAATTTAGGTTTACAGGGATTGTTGAGGTCGCTGAATTCGCATCTGTAGTCAAAATAACAAAGAAAAAAAAAACAAAATGGCCGATTTAATATGTCGTCTAAAATTTTAAACATAATAATTTCGTTAAAAAAAATAACAATGACTTACTAGATGTTATACTATTCAGGAGTTTTCGGGGACGCTGAATTCCAATCCAAAATCAAAATAACAAAACACAAAATGTCCGATCCAATATGATGCCTGAAATCAAAAGAAATTTGTTTAATTTGAAAAATATTTATTAAATTTACGTAGTATTGAGTTATATTGGGTTTTTTAAGTTTGCATCTAAAATTCTTCAATGTTTTGCATGATTTCTGATCTCTGAGAAACCATTTTTCGAGGAACTGGGCATTAGTAATGGGCATGTAAGAAAAATATTCGCTGAAAATAAACTATTGATAAAGAACAAATCGTTTAACCATCAAACCATCCCTAATAAATATAGTAGAGGAGTATTTGAGATAACCTCAAATAATTTAATAGAGTAACTTATTTTTATGATCATATCCGTATGCCTGCTGGGTTGAATACTTATATGTACGTATTAACCACAAAATATGTACATTTGTATGCATGTACATTAGGGCGGGTCAATTTGTATGGGAGATTTTGTCGACTATGCGCGTATAGCACAGTAGGATTCTACGTGTAATTCTAAGAAAATTTGCCCAAAAAACTATGGGTCTAAAATCAATGGGGAGTTTGCTTTACGCGCTAGTAAGAAAAATTGACTCGCCCTAATGTGCATACTCTAAAATATGTTTTGTGTAATTTTTATAATATCCTTCGGGTGCAACTATAAATGTAATGCAGATGGGTAAGCATAGCTCATATCAAATTTTAAAAGCTTTTTTTTTAGTTTTCTAGACGCAAAGTGCCAGCAACAAACTTGCATAGATACACAAGTAGGAAGGGAGTGCAAGTGTGTGCAGGTTTTAATTTTTTCATGAAGTATGTATGAATGTACATACATATGTATATGCGCACGTAGCATACGACTAAGCAAGGACATTTCGCGCCGCTACAACAACAACAACAACAACAACAGCGCCGGTTAAAGCACTGCCAGCGAACCACTAAAACATAAAAATGAAAAAGTAAAAAAAAAAATATATATATATATATAAACAAAACTTGGCATCTAAAAATAGAAACAAAAACAAAACGCAACAAAGTTGGATGGATAGTAATAAACTAAAAGTTGAATAACCTCCAGCTGCCAATTCGTCTGCCGCTGGTCGCTGCTGTCTTTGCGTTTGGCGCGCCGCTTGTTGCCACGGCTGTTGCTCTGCTATAATTCTCTCTTCGTAATTTTTTTGTTACTTTTGCTTTTATTTTTTATTCTACTTTTGCTGTGCGACTTGTTACGATTTTGGCATTGCAAAAGGCACAGAATAAAAAATAAAAATGAAAAACGCAAGAAATAAAATGAATAGCGACGAGGGCGAAAGCAACAGTTCGGCAGGACGCTAGTGTGTCCGTTGACTGCATTCGGCACAACAGTTGCTACACCAACAAAAGCAACCACCGCCAAATAAAAAAATAAAAAATAAAAAACAGATAAATAAAATATTTATTTCAGTATAAGTTAGTAAACCAAAGCTAAAGCAAAAGCAAAATACGATTACCTACATTTCTCCATGGCTGTGCCGCCAATCTCTCGAGATCCTTTAAATTTATGACTACATTTAAGTAGGAGTTGCATGCATGACACTTGTCCGCTGCCGCCGTCGCTACCGCATTGCATGTTGCGAACAATTTTGCAGCTGCGTCGGCTGTAAGCAAGCAGTGAACACGCGAGGCGTACTGCGGCACAGACCGGCGCGCCGGGTAAGCAGTGCGCCGCAATCCTGCAGACGATTAGACCAACTCACTGCTCACCGGCTTCAGTCACACACACACACACGACCCACGGTCCATGGCCCACCGAAGGCATCCAGTCGAAATATTTGCGCCATTGGTCATTGCGTCGTTTGTGTGGCAGACAGCAAGGCAACATGCAACATTTCGTGGCAAGCTATATGTATAATACATACATACATGCTACTTCCGTGTGTGCTCGTATGTATGTATTTGTCTCCGTGTCTGTCTGCTTTGTGGCAAACGCATTGCGTTGCAACGCTTTAGTCATTCGTACATTATTCAAATCCAGTGCAGACAAAAGCGACAAAAAGCAACTACAATGTTGCATGGCAAACTTTTTTAGCCACGGCGTGCTGCACATACTTGACATTGTTGCCATTTTTTTTTCCTTTTCCACTTCTTTCGCGTGTGCTCCGCTCTCCCTTCTCTGCGTCTGCCAGAATTGCATCACTTACAGCTTTTACTCACCGCTGTAGCTTTTACTCACTGCTGTAGTCATTCAATCCCTGGCGGCGTCTACTTTTCACTTCTTAAGTATATTTCTTGATTTTCGCCACTTTTTCACGGCTACTTAAAGTCATTCTTTGGCAATTGCAGCTGTTGTTGCACTTGAGTTGTTATTCGCAAGGGAATACGAGCTGTGGCATTAGCCCAAATAAAAGTCAAATACAACGAATTCATATGTGTATGGGGTGGGGTTTTGCCCCCCTGACAATGATGCCAGATTCGTAGTTTTAACTATATATTACATTACATTAGACAAGCTTACGGTAATTTAAATTACCGCCTAGTACAAGTTACAGTTTTTTTTTCGAAATTTTCGATCTAAACAAATAAATTAAAATTTCTACTTCGGTTGTTTATAAGTCAATTTTTAAGATAAAAAAATAAATCTGGCAACACTGCTCATTGGATGAATCACAAATCTCCATATTGTTCTTTGCTTCCTTTCTAAGAAATGTTTTACAACTTCTGTCATACATTTTTCTTATCTCTGGATTTCAATGTGTGTGTGTGTGTGTGAAGAGTTAAACTTTTGGATGTAAACCTTCAACCGACAATGTCCGTGAAAAGTACGTGTACAAACTTTTCTAATAGTTGACAACAATTTGAAGAATTTTTATGGTCACATTGCTGATATTTTTTCTTTGCGCTTCCCTCTTTGCGACTTCCACAATTGGATGGGGTTGACTAGCTGTACAATGTTCCACAGAGTTAAAGGATAATAATAACAATATCCATATGAAAGTAAAGAAAGATAACGATAAAGATACCATTATCGATATATACTACACTACCGGTGATTGTTTTCTCATTTGACAACAACAATATTGGTATGACAACCATATCGAACAGAAGCCAGAGGTTTTTTACTACGTAAACTTTTAAGGGGCGCAGACATCATACGCATTCTCTCTCTCTGGTTTCGTAAAGCTCCGGTGCCGAAAAGCTGTACTCACAAAGGAAAGCTAACATTTTCGCTATTCGAATCTCACACCTGCGCTCCGAGCAGTGTGATCACATCTTCCACTCTCCGAGAAGGTAGTGGGATTTTAGCAAGCCCGAAAGAAAAAATGGCGCTTCTGCGGAAAAAACGCATCTAAGGAGCCACACAACGATTGTCAAACTTGAGTATTAGTAAAAAATTTGCGCCTAAAACTATGCCGCTAAGATTTTCTGTATTTGCCTAAATTTGCTGTCCATTTTTAAATAGAAATTTTGTGGCTGAAGCACAAGAGGGAGATGCTTTTTATCGCAGAATAACACTCATAGATTTGACATTGCCTGTTAAGGCGCGATCACTGTTAGAAAAAAGCTTTTGTTTTGGGCGCTTCTCAGATCAGAAATCGAACTTTGGTTCTGCAGGATGGTAGTGCTGCACTCTACCACGGCGGCTACAGCCTTCTTTATAGATACATTATTGTAGGTCTTTTCAAACGTACAATATTAAAGGCTAAAGCCCAACTGGTGAACCTTGCCCTGAATCGTAGTCGTGGAGTTGGCGAATAGGGGCTGCCAGTGATTGCCTATGCGGATGGCGTGTGAGAGGAAAACTTTTGAATACCCTCTAGTCTGGGAACTGTGGACTTGCTGTAAATCCTAGTAAAACGGAGCTCGTTTTCACTTCACTTGCGGTATAAGGTGCCCCACATCACTCCTGCCTCGATCGGAGGCATTCGCCTGACGCTTACTGAAAGGGCAAAGCTCTTGGGTTTAATTCTTGACAGTAAGCTGTAGTGTAGTAGCCTAATATCGAGGAAAGAGCAAAGCGGCTCTATGTTGCTGCAGAGGGGGAATAGGTAAGAGATGGGGCCTTTCTCTCAAGGTCATTTCCTGGCTCGGTGAAACAATAAATAAGCCCATTAAGCTTTATGGAGTCCCCACCAGGTGGAATGCAATGAACAAGGCTTCGTTAGCCAGTAGGCTGCAGCGAGTGCAACGAGCGACCCCCATTGGAATTGATCGACAAACGGAGCCCTGAATTTCCTTTCGATCGCGTCGGAATATTACCTTGTCGGACTTGTATGGGTGGATGCGGGACCATAGTGATATATCAGGAAACTATGTGGCTGTGTGGAGTGAAGACATCTCTCGAAGAGATGGGCCTCGGGACAAATCAGCGCACGATGGTGGAAAACCAGCACCGTTAGTGAACCGGGGACGGTCTAGGGATCTCATCAACACTCCTCTTAGACTTCCCAGCTTCTGCTAGATTGCGACTTAGGCAGTTGGGTTACTAGTATCTGTAGCCTTCGAAACTTCTCAGTATTTAGGGCCTCGCGCTGCTTTACGGTATCATATAAATATACTACATACTCTATACATTATTTGTAATTATTATTTTATTAATTTGATGGAATTTTAACTATCAAAACTAAATGTTGCTTATAATAAAAACAAAAACTCTATCCATTTCTTCAATTGCAGGTTGGTGAATCGAGTGCGATGGCCAATGATAAGACGAATACGTCGTGCCTGAAGGCGACACCCGACCAAAGATGTTTAGGTTTGTGTTTAATTTTCATTTTATTAACACAATTACTATTAAACTTCAACTGCAACAACAACAAAAATGGCAATAGATAGATACAGAGCAAAAAATAATAGCCGAAATTCGCGAGTAAGAAAAGAACAAAGCTGTATAAATTTGTATATTAAAAAAAAAAACAAAAGCCAAAAAGCAAAGCAACAAATATGCGAAAAAAAATTATAAATAACAAAAATCTGAAGCGCAAAAATTTCTAAAAGCAAATAAAAAACTTTTGCAACATTTTATATTGAGATTAAAGCTGAAGTAAAGTAAAACGTAGAATTACAAAAACTAAAAACAAAACAAAAAAAAAAACGCTAGAAATACTAAAAGTGTAAACGGTTTTGAAGTTGTATGCCAATGTATTTGTAAGATGTGTGTAAATTTTCAGTGTACTAATGGAATTTGAGTAATGCGCTTTTAAGAAATTTCTTTTCTGCAAAAGAAAACTTTCCATTTTTTTGTAAAAATGTAAGTAGACTTCTTTAAATTTCAATAATTCACTTCAAAGTGCTGTGTAGATTAATAGCCTTATTCATAAAAAATAAAGCAGCTTTATAAAAGGTTTATAAATTGAATTGAATGTATGAACACGTCAATTTATAAAGCTTTTTTTAAACCTACTTCATTTTTTATGAATAAGGCCATAAGATTTCAAAAAATTGTATAATAACGAAAAGGTGTCCAGCTTAGGTTAGGTACAAAAAGTAATTTAAAAAAAACATATTTAGAAATGAGAAAACGTATAAAATGAAAATAACCTAAAGAAACACTTAAGTTAGGTAAGAAGTAAGCAATTGATATATTACGGAAACGGCTTGGAGATTTAGAGATTTTCAAAATTTAGCCAAAATAGCACCGATAATAATGAGGTAAAATGCTGAATAAACGCTGAAAGGTTGTCCAAATTTGTACAGTAGACTAAATATGAAGCAGTAAAATGTATGGATTAGGCGTAGTGTTGCCACAGGTTTACGGAAAATAATAATAATAATAGGTATTTAACTAAGTATAAAAAAAAAAATTGGGAAATGCTAGGCTAGGCTAGGCACTAACAAATTTTAATACTCTTGAAATTTTTTTAAATTTAAATTTTTGAACTTGCCGCTTTTACTGTGACTTCGTTTGTAACTTTTAAAATCAGCTGTGAAAAAATCGAAAATCTTTTTCATATTCCCATCATTGATTTTTAAAAAATTTTAACTGTTCCACAACCTACCATAATTATTTTTTTTTTATCAAAAATACGCATTTTGCATGTAAAATTGCACTTAAATCAAATATTTCAAAATTCACATTATTACTTTATGTATTTCTTTTTTTTTAATAAAAATCAAAAGTTCTTTAACAAAAATCACAAATTTTCGAAATTTATTTAAATTCATTCCGTGCTTGTTTATGTGTTTGCTTGTAATTAAATATTTTTCAGTTTTCAAGTCTAAACTGTAGTTAGTTATAGGAACGCTAAACCAAATTTAGGCATTTTTGTAAAATAGAGTTATGGACTCCTTAAAAAAAAGTACATACGATTTTTTAAACAAACAACAAATACTACACAAATTTCCAAGTCTTCCCGCTGCACACTGCTAAAAGGATGCTTTTGTACTAAATAATGACAATGAATGTTTTTTTTGGTTTTCAAAAAACAAAAATCTTGCCAGAAAAAAGCAGCCCCGTAAAATACACATATACACATATACATATGTATTTTTAGCAACGTTATGCATTCGAGTCCATTAAATTTATTTCGGAGTGAAATATTTTTTATTTGTAAAATCAACTTTCTATAGGCAGCATAAAAAGCGAAAATTTACGAGCCATATTTCCATGCAACGATTTTTGGCCGAACAAAGTAGAAAGCATGGCAATTGCGCAATACCCGTACTGCAAATTCTACCCAAAGCTGGTCAGCGCTTATAATAAATGAAAATTTCATGCAATTGAGGGAGAAAAATTTACTCGTGTCACATTCATATGTACTTATATATATATATATATAGTAGATATATTGAAAAAAATTCTCATTTTGCTGTGCCTACAGTATTGCACATATACTTATTTACGCGCTCATTTATAGGCACAGCGGATGACAGGCAATCGAAGTCAGCAAGTCATTGCAATTTATTTTATTTGTTAATTGTTTTTTTTTTTGTTTGAAACTTTCGAACTGCAAGCAATTAACTTTTGTCGCAGCTTTTTTGCGGTAGTGCCAATCGAAAACACCTGCAATGCAAAATGCCATGCGGAAATAAGTGTTGCATTTAAATCGCGTAGGCAAAAAGTGGAGAAAAAACAAGTAAAAAAGCAAAATGCTTTCATGCGTGCAAACTTTTCCGCTTTTTTGTGTACATGATGTGGAAACTTGTAAAGATTCTTTAGTCAAACTAATTCACTTTACAAGCTTTTTGTGCTTTCACACACAATTTTTTATAAAAAATCTTAAAACTTCTTTAAAATATTGGCATTTAGTTTTTGGAGTTTTTTTTTCAGACGTAAAAGCTTATGGTGCAAATTATTAGAATCATATTTAGTGGTTTAAGCTTTCAAAGAACCTTACATCGTGTGAAAGCTTGCACTGCTACAGAGTTCGCTACTTCATAGGCAGGCATACCAAGCTAGTTTTTAACTTTATGAATTTTATTAAAGGGTCTTTCTGACCAACAAAAGGAAAGAAGCCCAGGTTAAACTTCTTTGCAAATGTATGACTTTTCTCTACAAAGTTTTGGTAGCAGTACGGAAAGTCATAAGCACCTTTGATCATTCGAAAGTTCGTGGTACACGCTTACAACAATGTCCGGCAGCAAAAGCTTTTTGTCCACTGTACATACATCAGTGACGCTCAAAGGGAGAGAGAGACAACTTTTACTCTATGTGCATCCATATAAATCAGCGATGGGCCGAGAGAGATTTTACTCCGCACGCGCCTATAAAAAATGTATTGAAAGCTTAAAAGAGCTTACCCGCGGGCAAGAGAGTGTCCATCACCAATATAAATCGATCGGAGAGCTTTAAAGAGTTCTGCCCGTGAGCCTTGTTGTGATCATCTCTGATATGCACAAATTGTAGAAAGAGTTTTGAGAGCTTTGACACGCGTGCCTATGAAGTGGCCAACTGTAACTTTCATACGTGATGTTAAAACTTAAAGCTCTTTTGTTGCCAATGAAATAAATTTGATCTTTTGATTCTTGTGATATGCTTGCGTTTCTCCAGTAAGATGTTTCGGTTCGAAATAGGTTTGACGTCACCTCAAGTTTCAGTTCAACAACAAGCTTTTCAGGCGTTCCGCATCTTTCAGGCTTTCAGCATTAGCAGAGTTATAAAAAGCGCGGAACGCCAGAAAAGCTTTTTCTAGAGTTGTACTCTTATTGACAAAGCGAAATCAGTAATGCATTTTAGACAATTTATATAAAATGAAAACAATTCCAATGGTGTCAGTAAAACGTAATGAATTACTAGAGCGGTTTTTAGTAATAGTTTTTTGTCCTCAAGTTTCTGGAAGAAAATATAAAAATAAAGGGAAAACTCGATAAAGCGAACTTCGAACTAAGCCACATGAAAACTCAAATATTCAACTAAATTTTTAACAAAACAAACAAAATATAATTTGTTAATGAATTTTTAATATGTATTCCATTCAGAATTGTTAGCAGAAGACTATGTTTGAATGAATTTTTGTGTTTTGCCTAATAACCACACAATTTTTTTTTTTTACTAAAAGTGTTATTGAAATTACAAAAAAAAATAATACGAGTATTACATTTTACAAACAGCTTAAAGTAACTTATGGCATACAAACATAATTGCTAAAGCATAAAACACTTAGGCGCACAAATATTTTTTTCCTTTATAGTAAACTCTTGTTATTTCCCCCGAACATTTTCAATTTTGTAGTGTTTCTAAAAAATGCAAGAAAAAGTAAAAAAAAAACATTTATCTAAAACTAGCATTTAAGCGCAAGAACGGTGGTCGGGTTTTCAGCCTAAATATAGGCAATCAAAAAATATAATACTTAAGTAAATTAAAGCAAAAAAAAAAAAACTATTTATATTAAAATGGGCAAAAGGAACCAACACACAATAAATAACTGGGAAAAGGCCGTAAAAATGCAAATTACTTACCCGTATGTGTAAAATATTTATAATATAAAAAAAATTCTTTAAGCAAAAAGTTCCTGCGTTTCAAAGAGCGAACATTTTTAAGATGAAAAAAGTAGTAATAAATTAAAAATAGTAAAAATAAAAAGCGCTGCTGCTGCAATAATTTATGCAATTAAAAAACAATAAGTAAAAGTTGCAAACAAAACTTTGCTGCAAAAAATATCAGTTTTTTCAAACATCTCTCACCTTTAGTAGCAATTCGAAACAATAATTTTCATATCATTATGCAATTTACAGTAAAATTTTAAATTTTAAATGCAACATTAACAATAAATTAAATGTTAAACATAAGCTTAGTAAGTCTATTTTCCACATATCAATCTGACGTTTTGTGCTGCGCCAAAAAGGAACTGCATACAGAGATAAATTTTTTTTGTTATAGATATTCGTACTTTGTCATAAAGTTTTTTTTTTTTTTATTGAGTAATGGCTTCAGTGTTGTAATACATACATTCTGTTGAAATATTACCGGGACTCAAAATTTATTAAAAAAAAAAAAAATAAGCAGAGCTGCGATTCGGATTATAGAATTGCAATTAATTCGGATTACTGAGTAGCTGAGAATGCTGTGCGAAAAGCCGTTCGGATTACCGAATATTCGGTTTATCGAGTAGTCGGATCATCGAGTAGTGGACTATTTTTATGTAAATAGTACACTAAGAGAAAAATTGTGTTCTATAAACAAGTCTGACTGGGATTAAAATTTTCATTTTTCGTTTTTAAAATGTGTCCAGTTAGACATTCAAGAACTGTGGGTTATCATGAAGCAACAATATGATCACAAGTCTTTAATAATGATCATTTTGTGCATCGTATAAG